TGGAAAACTTTTCTTCTTGGGCATTCGTTCACTCAGATCTACGTAATCGTCTCACAGTTGATCGTTCGATGAAGCTTGTTGATGTTTATTATTCTTTGAAAATGAATGATGTTTATGATGACCATTATGATGATTTCGTTGATTCGGATTGATTTTTATCACTTATTTGGATCATTTTTATAATTTCATCGAATATTGTACTTCTCGAAGATATACAGGGAAATGAGAAACGAAAAAAATTGCAAATAAACATATTGTATTTGAAATACTATTACAATTTATCTCCAACCCATGTGTAAGAACTCTCCAAATGGTTAACTTTATAAACTCTATTTATAGACTTTTTCTCTCGATTTAACTCTATAAATTAAAATTATAGAACCTTTCCAGGTCAAACGAGGCTCAAATTGGAACGAAAAAACCGACAGTGATGATAGAACATATATTAAAAGAACGTAAATATCTTTTTGTTCGTTATATCTGAATACTCAACTTTTACAGATAGAAGAACACATGTGTAGAAACTTTCTCAATGGTCAACTTTATAAACTCTATTTTTCTCTCGATTTTACTCTATAAACTATATTTATAGAACCTTTCCACGTCGAACTGGATTAAATTGAAACTAACAAATCAACACTGATGATAAAACCAATATTAAGAGAACGTAAATATCTTATTGTTTGTGATATCCGAAAATAGCAAATGAAGCATGTTTGCGAGCTTGATGAAATGGAACTATTATTTAAATGTCTGACTCTATAGTCAGACATTTAAATAATCGTATAAATTTCGCAACTTTTCGAATCGGAGGGGAGTCAAGTCATTTGTATTGGTGGGATGTGAGTCAGGACGTGATACTGAAGCAGGCAGTTGTAAGAGTTTGAGGGCCAAAGAAGATAATTCAGGGTGTGAGAACGCAATTGTCGTCCAGTACAGTATTCCATTCTTGTAAGCATTCAGGTTGACGGACTTGAAAATATCGTCTGATGCTTCGAATTGAGCAAAACTCTTCATTCCCTTCTCCTCAAGTGCCTCAATCAAAAAATCTATCACTTTAATCATACGAGTTCAAACGTCTTTGAAGTAATACCCTCGGTAAACTGGATGGAAGAGATTGGCTATGAGCATGATTGGGGACAGGAGTTGAGCGATTTCAGGTTTGATTGAGTCGAAGGAAGAATTTCCAGTAGATATCTGCTTTAACCAATCTTCTGTGACCTCAGCAACTGTCATATCCTTCTTGTGACATTTCACCTTCATAGCATGCAGGGGTTCCAGCGACTTCAAAGTTTTATCCAATTTTTCCTCGAACGATTCATCAATCAATATATTAATTGCTTCTTTCTTGATTTTAAGTTGTCGAGCCCCCATAATTTCAGCCATAGCTTGAAGATTCTTTCCACAAATAGAAATTAAATACCACTTATCATGAAGAGGATCGGATGAGATGTCAATTGAGACTCCCCCTCGAGCCACCAATTCTCCATTTATTGGTGTCACTGAAAACTCTTCTAGTAAGCACAGTACTTTCTCTATGATTTCTTTGTCGACAATTTTATCCTTTATAGATGCAACAAAAGAACTGTTACATTGGAGCAACCACACTTTATCACCCATCGATTCTCTATCAGTCTCTTTAATGTTCGTGTCAGTAATAGCAGCATAAACTTCGATCTCATATTTCGTTGCAGAGAGGTCGATGGCTTCTGTGATGATAGTGTAATGGTTATATCCCAAATTTTTAAATAGCTTTTGTCAAAAACCCAATAATGCAAGACTTCTGCTCAATGTTTGTGTTTGACAAACTTATAATCCCTTCTGAGGAGGAGCTCACTGACTGTTTTTGTCCCAGTTTATCGTGGACATCATGTATTAGCTCTGAAAGTTTATCGACAGTCACTGTTATCCAAGCAGGGCGTAGACATTTGGCGAATTCAACGAATAATTTTGATTCAACCACTGGGAATGGTATATTGCAGCCATAGAATAGTTTTATACATGAATCATCGATACGATCAAAATCAACAGGAGAAACGTAGTCAAAGTAGGTATTTATCTTGCGTTTATCATTCTTTACTCTTTTTGGAGCTGGTAGGCTACAAACTGGTGATGTATTTGTCTCTTGAGACATTGAGGGCAGATTCCCTTGATTATCTTTGGACATCTCATCGATATTTTGATTCTCATCAATTGAATGAGGAATATCGTGAGGCTCAGGGCTTTGGGAAGGGCTGGTGGAGTTACTTGGTGGTCTACACTTCCTCCTGATGGCAAGAGAAATTCAAATTGAGGAAGTTTCATCTCATTAAAGTTACTGGTATTATTCAATAAACTGTCAACATTGAATGTACTCACCTGTGGGCTCTCAATCTATCTTCAGCACAATTCGTTAAGTAATTCGTACAAATTACACAATATGCCTTGTTTACCCCGTCCTGGCTACGACGTTCAAACCCCCCTTTCTCCCAAAAATCGTGGAATGGTCTACCACCGTTTCGACCATTGTTACCACCACGTCCGTGACCCCTTTTATCCATTTGTTTGAATTTTTCCCCAACCTCAATGAAAAATGTGATGGCCCTCGTCCAACCATCTAACCTTCCACGAAAAATACGGCAAACTGTGTGACATCCGTGATAACAACAGCATGTAGCGGTGTTATTTCAGGTTATGTGGTTCGTAACAAAACGTGAGAGACATGCGAGGCATGCGCAATGACCATCTGAATAACCTTAGTGCTGTAAGTCCCTAGTATTTTACTATGTATAAAACCACTCAAATCCCTAACATTTTAGATGTATAAAACAAAGTAATTTGCTTCGAGTATTTTACGTTTTATACATTAACAAGCTTTGATGTAAAATACAAAGTATTTTACATGTAAAAAACTAGGTAATATACGTTACGTATTTTACGTTTTATAGTTTGAAAAGTTTTGATGTAAAATACGAGGTATTTTACATGTAAAAAACTAGGTAATTTACGTTACGTATTTTACTTGCCCAACCCTGCTCGCGATTCACATTATAAAGTGTGAGAATCAAGTTACAATGTTGGCAGCGCCTGTCCAACTGAGCCTCACATCCAACGTCGAAGTGTTTCCATCAGTGCATTTAAATGTGGGTTGTAGAACCATGGGAAACGTTTTATTCTCACTTCAAATTACTTATTAGAGTAAAACGAAAAATTGATTCAGTGTTGTATCTTTTTTTCTTTCTTTGAAAAAAATTCGAATTTCTTCCCGACATGAAGACAGCTTGTGAAATTATTGTTTATGTTTGAAATCTGGCAGAACTGCTCTTTGTCGACAATTGTATGATAAACTATTAAATGGCCGCCAATAATTAAATTTTAAAACAAAATATGTATTTTTCTTCGAGGAATAACCGTTTTCAGTTTCGTGGGGACAATGGTTTGTATTAGGTTATGGTGGGATGCGAGGGACAAGAAGACACTTTCGTAATTATTTCAACAATTTGGATAATATCTTCAAAATAGAAAATAAAAAAAAAGTTTTTATAAAAATATCCATCAAGTCAACATTTTTACAAAATTTTCATAACCGGACATTTTATTTGGTTGTTCCGGAAAGGAAATCAATCCATCTCACCAAAGAATCCAATCACCATAGAAAATCCAAGAAAAAGTTGAATGGGAAACACAAATCAAGTCGGAAATCTGAATAAATGATCAAAAGTCGGTAAAAACAATGAATCTGGCGTACAACTGTTTGTTTTCCTTCAATTAACAATTGAAAGGATGTTCTACAATATGTTGTGAAAAAAGAGTTGAGTTGGAAAGAAGAACTTTCTCATGATATGATATGATATGTTTATAAATGACATTATGACGGAATTGAGCTGTATGACTTCAATATATGCTGACGACGCGAAACTTTGTAAAGTGATATGTAGTGAGGAGGATGCCGTTAGGCTTCAGACTGATGTTGACCGATTTGTACGGTGGTGTGATGATAATTTTCTGGACCTGAATGCGCAAAAATGTAAAAAATTGTCATTTTATCGGGGGCGCAAAGTAATTGAGACTACACGGAGAGAAAAGTCAGGGAAAAATTCTAGTGCTCGGCACCAGAAACGAGGCGCAAACTGCCGAACTCCCATATTTTAATCGAAATAAGAATAAAAATTCTAGATCAGCACGGAAATTTTGCTGTAAGTTGATCAATTTTTGCAAAGAAGCACGAGAAAAATTATAGAGCTGGCACTAGAAAATTTCCCGGTGTGTCAATTTTGTGGGAAATTCCGTAGAAAATTGTGGGAAAAACTTGATTAATTCTTGGTAACATTAGAAATTTGATTGTGCAGTTGGAGAATTTTTCTAGTGCTAGCACTGGAATTTTTGCCATTCTTCTTATCCTCGTACGTGTCCGCGCGACATCTGCAACGTTCAGCTCGCCGAACTGAGTCGAACAGCTGCACTCGGGATTCCCAAGTGGAGACTTACAAATGGCGTCTTCAACGTCGGATAACGTTAGTGCGCGTTCTGTAGAATTATGTGACAATCAGGGATTATTGGGCTTATTTTTCTCTGAAAGTGTTATTAACCATATCAAATTTGTGGGAAAACAAGTGTGAAGCAACTGGTCATAGAAATTGTTGAAAATCGACATTATTCAGTGATGACGTTTTAAGATAATGTAATTCCCTGTAATCGTGGAACAAATGCAATAAAAAAAATCTATAAAAATAATTCGTTGGCTTAAGGCTCATTTTGGTTGATACTGTAGTACATTAATTTAAATAACGTTGATATTATTAATGAATAATTAAGGGGAAAAAAAATTAAATGATGATTTTTTCGGCCTTGCGGTCAGGTAGTAAAAAAAAAAAAAAGCTAATCAATTTTGCTGTTAAAAAGCCAACGTTTCGATTCCTTCGCGGATCCTCATCAGGGCTATTTTATTGCTGTGTGAACAGAACTACGGACTATCAAAGAACATCCCGACCAACGAATTCATAGGGGCAGTGAGTTATATTATGAACACCACTTGTTTCTCGTTCAACAACAGCTTCTTCAGACTAATTTCTGGCCTGCCCATGGGATCACCTGTAGCCCCTCCAGCAGCAGAGACTGTAATGCAGGATTTGGAACAATGTTGCTTACAGTTTCTGAGCGAAGCAGGCATCCACATACCGTTTTTCAAACGTTATGTGGACGACATCATCACAGCGGTACCCAAAGACAAGGTCGATCTAGTTTTGGAGGTTTTCAACAGCTACGAGACGAGTCTGCAATTCACACACGAACTAGAAGAAGAGAACAAGATCGCTTTCTTGGATCTGCTTCTAGTCCACGAGGGTAACAACATCATAACAAACTGGTACCACAAGAAAACATGGTCAGGGAGATGCCTGAATTTCTTCTCACATCACCCCATCAGTCAGAAGAAAGGCACGGTGACCATATTAGTAGATAGATGTATGAAATTGGCACATCCTAGGTTCCACCAAGAGAATTTACGTCTCATTAAAGAAACTCTTAAGGAGAATAGTTACCCTGAAGATTTCATTAATAGACAAATTCACTTGAGAATGAGGAAGCTGAACTCACAGATCAACAATAGTCATGTTGATCTTACTGTTCCCCCTCGAATTGATTTCAAACGCACATTTGTTTTCCCATATGTGGAAGGTTCGACACAGAACCTAAACAGGATTGCCAAAAAATACGATCTAATGATCATTTCCAAGAACGAATACAAGGTCAACTTCCTGAAATCTTTGAAAGATCCAGTTTTCGTTGACTACAACTCAAATATCATCTACTCGATACCATGTGGAGACTGTGATGGTGTTTATATCGGACAGACCAAAAGATATATTAGGACCAGGATTGATGAACACAAGAACGGCATTGTCACCAGCAAGAAAATCAAAACTGATAAGAACAGGCACAATAAAGAACCCAACCATACGGCTCTCACGAAGCACCAGTTGGACACTGGACACAATTTTTCTTTCTCAGATACGAAGATATGTGGGAGAGAAAAAGCTCCGTATGAACGGAACTTATTAGAAATGGTAAACATCATAAGAAATCCACACTCCATTAACTACAGGACAGATGTAAACAAACTGAGCTCAGTTTATTGGAATTTATTATCATGAATCATCACAGAATTGAGAGTTCGTCGGGATTCATCATCATAAATTAACATGTTATATCTAATAGTCTATCCGTACACTCGGGGTTGCGACAAGGTGGACACCAAGTGTGTTGAAAGTTTGCTGCTTGGTTTCTGGATCGGGGTTTCAATTTGGTTGGTTTTTTTTAACTAAAATGAGTTAGCAATTTCCACATCGATTCACCAGATGTGATTTCTCAGTTGGCAATAACCAGTTAGTTACTTAGTTACAGTACACGCGCGAAATTTCCCTAGTCACCACTAGTGCTTATGCGCGCGAAACTTCCCTAGTCACTATTAGTTCTTAGCCCCCTCATTGGGTTGGCAACATTGGGTGTCTGTAGAGAGGAGCAACGATAGTTGTTGACAATTTTTATAATATTTTTATAACATCTACCATGAAGTTTATTCACCCTCAGAAATATCAGGTACTGGGTTCGTTCTATAACTTGCTTTCACTGACTTTGGTTGTTCACAATGACCATGTATTTATTTATTTGACACCTAACTTCTTACAGAAAGAGAACATAACCTATAGGAATCAACACTATAATCTTTATATCAGGAGAATTTGTGTATTTTTCGTTACACCTGGTTTATTTACTTTGGTACGTCTACTTTTTAATTCTCTTTATTTGTAATTCTCACGTGATTCATCCTGATTGTTTAATTCTGTTCGCATAGCAATAAAATAGCCCTGATGAGGATCCGCAAAGGGATCGAAACGTTGGCTTTTTAACAGCAAAATTGATTACCTTTTTTTTTTTTTACTAGCTGACCGCAAGGCCGAAAAAATCATCATTTAATGTCTTTACCACGGTCGACTAACATTTCTTCACCTATGGAAAAAAAAATTATGACCGGGGAAAATTTTTTTTGTCTGTCGAGTAATTTTTCGTTTGCCGATAAAGGAAATTTCGTGATGAAACGTCAAATTTTCTAGTGCCGAAGGGGAAATTTTCATATGCTGGCACATTACGCCTCAATTCTGGTGCAGCACTAGAATTTTTCCCGAAATTTCCCCACAAAAATTCTCTGACTTTTCTCTCCGTGTAGCTATATTGTAAAGGGTGTGGTGATTGAGAGTACAGAGGAATGTCGAGATCTGGGGGTTGTCTTTGATCGTTGGTTGACTTTCAATAGTCATATAAATGGCATGATCGCGTCAGCAGCCAAGATGTTCGCTTTTGTCTTGCGGGTGTGCAAGAATTTTAGTAATTTGCTAGCGATCAGGACGCCCTACCGTGGTCTCATCAGGCCTCAGTTTGAATACGCGTCTCTGATATGGAATCTAGTTTATGCAAATCAAATCAATAAGATTGAGTCGGTGAACAAAGATTCTTGAAGTTTATGTGTTGGAAGAAGGAGGGTTTTTATCCTGAGAGGGGGTTTGACTGAATTGACCTATGCGATAAATTTGATTTGCTGACTTTGAGGGAGAGAAGGCTCATTACTTCAATGTTATTCATTATCAAATTGATCCGGGGGAATATTGATTGTCCTGAGTTCTTAAGTCAACTGCCACTTCGAGTGCCACCACGCAATTCTAGGCTCAATGCCGTCTTTTACTTGCCAGAGAAGAAGTCTAATGTTATCTCGCCACTTCATTTAGCATGTAAAGCCGTTAATGAACTTATTGAGTTCTGTGATGGCTCGATAGATATAGTGCCATCGCCACTCTCCGCGATTGTCAGTATGGCACATATATTTGTGAAGTCGCGAAGGAGTTGAGTGGCTTAGATTATTATTTTGGTTAGCTGCATTATGAGTGATTTGTGAACCGCCACCTGCCATCCTACTATAATTAGTTGTTATATAATGCCGATTCTGGCGCAACGTTTTTGGCGTCGACCTGGTCGTTGGGGCCCAGTAGGGGGGTCAGATGAAAGTGGGTGGGTGGGTGGTTGATTAATTCGCGGGGTCGCGGTTTAATTCGCGGTTTGATTCACGGGGTCGCGGCTTAATTCGCGGTTTAATTAATTAATTCGCGGTTTTTCCCTCGAAGTGATGAAAAGGGTAATTAATTCGCGGGGTCGCGGTTTAATTCGCGGTTTGATTAATTAATTCGCGATTTTTTCCCTCAAAGTGATGAAAGGGTTAATCAATTCGTGGGGTCGCGTTTTAATTCGCAGTTTGATTAATTAATTCGCGATTTTTTCCCTTGAAGTGATGAAAGGGTTATTTAATTTGCTAGTTAATCAATTTAATTCACGGTTTTGCGTTACAAAGGACCTTCTCGGTGACCTAGTCAATCCACCCCGCGAGGGGGTGAGTGAAGGGGTTAATTAATTCGCAGGTCGCGGTTCGATTCGTAGATTAATTCCGCAGATCACGGCTAAATTCGAGGATCGATTGATTAATTAATCAATTAGTATACCCAAACTTCTCAGTACACTACCGCGAGGGGTGAAAGAGTTAACTAATTCGCTGCTGTAGAAATCATAGAAGGGGCTCCTCTTCTTCAAACATTGACACCTGGCTCCACTTGACATTTCTGAACTTGAGTTTTCCGGTACTTTCTCGTTTGCCGCTCCCATTCGTGGGAAATCATTGTTAATAATGATTTCAATATATAAATATTTATTTTAAAAAACATTTTCCTGTCACACGTCTGAACTTGAGTTTTTCCGTACTTTCCTGTTTGCCGCTCCCATTCGTGGGAAATCATTGTTAATAATGATATCAATATATAAATATTTATTTTAAAAAGATTTTCCTGACACGTCTGAACTTGAGTTTTCCGGTACTTTCTCATCTGCCGCCCCCCCTTCGTGTGAAATTGTTGTTGATAACGATATCAATATATAAATATTTATTTTAAAAAGAAGGGGAGGGAGTATGTATATATGCAAAGAATTTTTGCCTGAACTTAAGATTATCAGTCCTTTGATGGTTACCGCTCGTAGAAACAAACGTTATTAATAATAATGTAAAAAAATTATTTATTGAACAAAGAAAGGTTTAAGAGTGGGGGATTTATGTATATAAACGAAAAAATTCTCGCACACATCATCAGTTCATCTTGTCGCTCTCCATGAAGGACAGCTTCAAACGACGGGAATTAAAGAAACGTTTAGACCTTCTCCTGAAAAACATTCAAGAAGTGAAACAAGTTATACAGTACCGAAGTGACATCAAAATACTCTGCTCCAATCTGCAGAAGACTCGAATTTAAGCTTAATTATCATATCCACGTGAAAAAAAAATCATGGATTTCAACAAAATCAACATTGTGGCGCAAATGAAAAATCTTCCTCTTATCAAACTGGCGGATCTGGAAGCTGGAGCATTTTATATCATCACTGCAGCTCGCAAAGTGGAGACAAAGTATGGAGTTGGTGTTATTCTTCATCTCTCAGATACTCACACAGTTTTCGTGAATACTCGACTGGCCAAGTATTTCGCTGAAAATCCCAAGATGTTCGAGAATTTCCAACAACATATTGAAAAGGGCTCACCAACGTTGAAAAATCTAGGTGGGAAATACAAAAATCTTCGCCTACATCCTGATTTAAACGTGAAAGTTGAAAATAAAGCAGATGAAGCAGATTTCAATGTGATGAATACTATTGCAGAGTTCAAAGAACTTCTCTTAGTGAAAATATCTGAATTGAAACGCAACTATTTATACACCATCACAGCTGCCTCCAAAGTCAAAACCAAGCATGGAATGAGTGTGATCCTCCATTTGAATAATGCTTATTCAGTTTTCCTCAACCGAAGGATATCAAAATTTTTCATTGATAATCCTAAAGNCATGCTTATTCAGTTCTCCTCAACCGAAGGATATCAAAATTTTTCATTGATAATCCTGAAGAATTTGAAGATTTGCTGAATGAAATCACGAAAGGCGCACCAAAGTTGGTGTATTTAGGTGGTGAATACAACGAAATCAAATTCCATAAAGAAGATGAGGAGATTGTTGCTTAACTTACAAATTAAATACAACAATATTTTCATTTTTTTTCTTTATTGGCAATTTTTTTTTACACAATGATTTTTTTATGATTATAACTAATGTAATAGTATATAAGAAATACATGAATAAATATAATAATTAAACATATTTTGTTGTTTTTTCTTAAGAATTATTACATTTAAAACAATCCCTTATCATAGGCGGTGGGTCCATCAAAAGTATCACTCTCGACAGTCTGATAGTGCTCCAAACAATGTCTACATCTTTTGATGTACCAATCAGCTCTCATAGCATCAGTCAAGTTGTCCCAACACTGATAAACATGGCATGCAGCGACGAAACTTATAAATGAATGTGGCAGATATGCAATATCTTCACAATCCATCAAATTTAAATTGTTCAATTTGTAGTAAATATTGACGGATCGATCTACTGATCGTACTATTCTTTTCTTCATCATCCAGTTTTTGAGTAGCTCTACATTTTTCAAGGCACATGCCTTGTTGTCGTCTCTATAACTATGGAATGGACAAGTACGAGATGGTAAATCTTTGAAATTGGCTAGTGATGGGCAATCATCGAAAATTTCTTCAATATTAACTACTAGCGGTGCTAATACAGGACCAGAAATTTTTTTCAACCACTCTTTTTTCTCCTCCCCTTTCACATAAATTCTACCAATATTTTCCCACTTTTGCACTAATTGTCCAACTTGCTCGTATGATCTATTCCCATAGTTCCAGGGTAATCCATGATGACGACGCTCAAGCCACAAAGCTACCCTTCTATACTTCGCTGATAAACTAGAGAATCTCTATGGGGGCTTGAAAAACCAAACGTTAGGGTATCCTACACCAGAATTCAAAACTATTTATCCGAATTCTTTCACGATGCACTCGTTGGAGAGCGTTTGGAAACCTTGTACGTCCACGAGCACCTCCATCGCAACTGATGAAATATTTCTATCGTGATGAGAATTTATACCCCTCTCGCCCCTCCTCCTCTTTAGATTACTTTTCTTACTCCTCCGCTTATCGGGTTGTAATGTACTACTCGATCGTGCA